CTCACCTAGGGGAGATACACAATCTCACATCACAGCCCAGGAAATAGGGAATAATGAGTGGAGGACTCCATTAATCAGTGGACATGTCTGTAATAATGTAAAGCAAATGGCTAAGGAAAGAACCCAGAGTGTGAACATCTACAAAAAAAACCCTAAAAAGTGCCTGTTAGAAAAATTTATCATCCAATGATTTTTACAAACAAACACAGAAAGAGAGAAGGAGATGGGGATGATGAATCTGGAGGGAAAAAACCCCAAAGAGCAAAACAAAACCAAAACAGAAACAGACTCTTTCTACACAACTTACATCATAATAGCCAATATCATATACCCCATGGCAAAGCAGGCTGGCACAACAACATGCCTGAATTCCTTATAGAGGTCATGCACTGGATAACTTCATATCTTATAACACTCATGCTTACTCCACCTCCCAACAGCTCAGCATGGGAGAAGAACAACCATGCTTATGGAAAAGGATAAACCAGTGCAAACTTGCAGTGTTATTTCAATATTATTACTACAAACTGCTGCTTTTGCATTTCACAACTTACATAGAACTGAAGAAAAAGTAGTAGTTTTTTTTCTGAAAGCCTTACAAGTTATAAAAGTTTCTATCTCAGAGTTACTTTGAATATATTTACATTATTAACAGAAAATTGAAAGTAACTCACTTAATTACCATCTCCAATAAGAAACTTGTATTGTTTTGCTGCCTCACTATCAAGAATGGCAATAAAACCACCTTGTTCCCTTGTTATTTGCACAATTGATTTCATAGTCTGTCATCAGTTCCCACGAATGTTGACACAGTGATGTAAACAACCAACCTGGAGTAAGTCTGCATGTCAAAAGAAGAAACTATCCATTTTGTATTTGGAAGCTGAAGTCTCGGTACAGAATATAGAACAGAAGGGTCTGGTTTGGTTTAAGGCAAAATAGTGATTTTTTCCTCCTTGATGTTCAATTACAACTGTCAGTTAGTCTAGAGTAAAGCAAATCCTGTTCTTTTAATGTGTTTTCAGCTGGCAGACAGCATTTTATAGAGCAGGACATAAGCGAATGTCTAGCCAGTATTACACTAAGCTTAGTTAATGGCTAATCTGGCATTTGTTCAACTGTGTACTTCAAACAGCAAGACAGAGAAGGTGCATAAAAAGAAAAAAAGACGAAGCTCTATCTTCACCACCTCATTTATGTTCCTGATGGAAATGATAGCCTATTAGAAGTGTCAGCATTCTAGTGAAAGCTGGCATGTAAATATTTATGCATTATGCAAGATAGTCAAGCCCTGACTGGCTGTCCTTTTCCATATTTCTAGCAATAACAGAAACTGTAGTACAGATAAGAAAAAGCTGTAAAAGCTTTACAACATGGAATTTAAAACAATTTTAAATGGTCATTAATAAGAACCTGAACATGTACAACGCTAAATGCTTCCAAGGTTTGTGTGACCTCAGTTATCAGGGAATAAAAAATACTCCGTGCTGCTCAGAAGGACACAGCTTCTTGCCAGATTACCTAGGAAACTGTACATGAAGTTTTAATGTTATAACTAAACCATGGCTTGAGTTGCAATAAATTTTGGTGCTTTGTTTGGCTTTTATGAAAATATGAAAATTAGATTATTCATGGTGCATGACTGATTTTTTATCTTTGTTTTTTTTCCCTCAAACACACCTGCTTCCAGTTCCTTGTCCAGTAGCAAAATCTGTTGGAAGCAGTTGAAAAATATTTCCATTTTAGGATGATGAATGGACCTTGGTACATGAGCTTAGATGTATCAAGCAAGGTCTGAGCACTGCAAGCTTGCCAGCACATCTGATGCTTACTGGCAACTGTATCAACAGTTCCACTGCCAAACACAGAAGTGGTAGCAGAGAGTTAACTATTCCCCCCTCCCTAGGGATGGTCAGCATGCGCTGACCGAGGCAAACTGGTCAGACACATGGCAGAATGGGCAGCGCTATTGCCTGTACTGTAGGATCTCTGTAGAGAAGTAAGGCAGCTGTCTCCAGGGTTGGATTTCATATGAATTGCAGTCAGCCTAAAAACTAAGGCCTGACAACCCAAATTACACTGTCAAATGTTTTAGTCTACCCAGAGGAATTCTTTACGCACCTTCAGAGGCCAATAAACAGGCTAATCACTTCTCAATTTGATTATTACACTGCCAAGATCAGGGCAGGATATGCTTCAGGATGTCATAAGAAACAAAGATTAAGACAAGAGGCAGCATGTTCTTCCCCAATGTCAGTACTATCAGTGCAACACTGCACATCCCAATTATCACAACACCTCACAAGGACAACTTCAATTTACAGGGCTGATGAGCCCAATGGTGTTTAGCATATAAGTCTCTGAGGGTGGGGCTGGTATTTGCTGTAAAAAGACACAGCTGTAGCATTTCTTATATCAGGGACCAGGACAGTCATGCTCTTGTTGCCTCTTTCTATCACCTGATTCGTGTGTCTTCAAGAACAACGTCTATAAAATAGCTGAGTAACACTTCTTCCCATTAAAGTGAATAAATCATGAGAAAGATCCATTTTAGAAAAAGGAGCCTAAAATAAAACGGAGGGATCCATTACTTTTTTTTAGATGGTATGCTGTCATTCTTCAAAATGTCTAGAAAGGTCATAAAATGTCTAATTTCCCCTCAGGTATTTTTTTAAAAAGCAGAAGACAAGCTAAATGTATATATGTCTAGTATTCTTTTACCCAGTACAAATAGAGGGCAGTGGTCTCCAAAAAGTTTAGATACCATACCCATATCAGTAAAATCTTTTTGAGTATGAATCACCAGTATGTGTTTGTTTATTTATTTATAAATTGTGTACAGCTGAAGTTCTAACATTTCTTTCTGTATCCCAGTGGAGTGTCTTGCACACCCTCTGGGCTGTGCACATTCCACTTTGAAGACTACTGCTCTAGAGATCATCTACACCAGTGTCTATTGCATTGGCTTCAAAGCAAAAAAAAATTGTTTATCGTTACTAAAACTAAACTATCTGGTTTAGATTTAATATCATTCAAGACAAAGATTCCCCACTCTCTTTGAACAGGAAAGTGCTTACAGTTCTCTCTGTTGGAAAGACGTCCAATTAGAATTTGCCTTGCTGTAAGTTTTGACCATTGCCTCATCCTTTTGTTGTGCAACACAGAGAAAAGCCTGGCTCCATTTTCTCTGCCTGCTCCATCTGTAGCTTCAGAGAGCAGTTTGATCTGTCTCCTTCCATGACATCATCTGTGTTACTGATGAACATGTTAGAAGTCTCAGATCCAGTAACAAACCTTGAGGACCACCATCCATAAAAAGGTGCCAGTTAAATCTCAACCAGCTAACGTTTTAAGTCTCACCAAACCAGCCAGTTTCTCATCCACCTTGTAGCCCATAAATCCAGCCCCTACATCCCTTAAGGATATCTTCCTCACCAAATCTACCATGCTTCTTCCAATTTCTCCTACAAATATGGAAGTCTACACTGAAGGCAAGATAAATGACAATAACTGCACTCCCTTCACCCACAGAGACAGTCATTTCATCACTAAGGCAATGAGGTTGGTAAAGTATGATTTCTCCATAGTAAATCCACGTTGATTATTCCCAATCACATGCATTAGTTTCCATTCATCAACAGGCTTTGGCCTGCATATCCAGGCAATGTCTCTATAATGCTCTTTAACAGTCCATCCCCTCTCCTCTCTCTTTTAGTATGAAGTCAGAAGTCCTCTGTTCAAATTGACCTCCTGTTATGCCTGCTTGTTTCCTTGCACAATGGGGATAGTTCTTGTGCTCTGAGGAAGATTCCCCCAGAAATCACCCAGACTTCCCATACTTCTCTGCACTTCAGGGCAGCCTCACACAGGATCCTGCCTGCCAGTTTCCTAGTCAAGCCAAAGTCAACTCTCCTGAAGTCTAGGATTTTTATTTCGTTGTTTTCCATCCCCACTTTCTTCAGGGCCTTTATCATCTCATGGCCAGTGCAACTTAGGCTGCGACTATCACATCTCCAACCAGTTTCTACTTATTCATGAGTAGCAAATGCAGCAGAATACCTCTCCTAATCACGTCTTTTATTACCTACATCAAAAAACTGTCTCCAACACACTCCAGAAATCTCCTGGATTGTTTATGCTCCATCGGATTGCCCTGAGTAATCAAAGTGTATTTACAAACTATTATCTCTAACTCACTCCCATTTGTTTACAGTCTCAGATTAACAACCATTCCTCAGTACTGAGCTGACCCCCAGAAAGTCAGAATGCAACAACTTGTGGACTGGAAAAAAAGTTGAACAAGTTGGCAAATTCCTAAAAACACATAAGATGAAAAAGCGGGCTGTCTTGTGAGCAATTCATTAGCATAAAAAAAAGGTAGTTTTTCAGTAAATAACTTGAGCAGTTCTACTCTCCACTTCATTGGAATAAGCTTCAACTTACCTATTTCCTGTATTATTTCAGTTCACAGGAGTTTCTTTTAAAAACAAATTAAAGTAAAACAAAGGGGATATAATCTTATTTCTAGTTATCAAGACCTGTTTATTGCACATAAGTCTTAGGATTAAAAAATTGGCCAGCTAAGTACCATATTGCTCCAACAAAAGAAAGTGCTGTCAGCTTTAACAAAAATCAGATAAATGCATGCCTGTTTTTGGTTCAGGACTGGAGGAATACTGCTTTACCAGTTTAAAGAGACTGCAATTCAGGTGAATCTATTTGGTAGATTGTAACAGCAGGGATTCTCTAAGGCTCTATAAGGGCACTCAGAGCAGTTCTAAAGCTGATGAAAAGGTAACTGACATTTGACATATTAACAGAGAAAGGAAGATTTGCTAAAGCTTCCATAAAAGAAGATGTATCATTGAGCTTACAGTCATCCCCACAGAATTATGCTGTACACTTGAAAGAAATTGAGGAAAGAAAAACAACACACAATCTGTAACCCTAAAAAAAAAAAAAAAAATAAAAAAGACACTTATTTAAAGCTCAATCAATACCTGGTCCAGTGGAACTTCTACAAGAGTATCTTCATCTTCCTGCACTTCAACTGCCCCCCAGGTTTCAGACCCCTCTTCTCTGGCTTTGTAAATATCTTCACCTACAATGGGAAGGATACAGAGTAGAAAGAAGTGAAGTCCAATGGTGACACTGTGTGGCTCAACTACTGAACTGCATATTCAATTTTGCTTCTGAGAACATGTTTCTGAGCTGACCCATTATACAGTTCTTTTAAGGAAGACTTCAATCGCCCATCATTTACAAGTTTTTTTTCCTTTTAACAATAAATACATACTACACCATTTGGGGAAAGAAGAAGGAAAGGTAAAAGGAAAGGGAAAGGGAAAGGTAACAGGGACTGAACAAAGCCCTGGATCTGAAGTTCTTTCACTTCTGGCAAAGGTTTAGAGTGAATCTGACCATAATACATTACAACAACAACATATTACTTCTGTTTCTACAGTCAGTTATAGTACCCTGTAGTAATTAACCTTATAACATACATCTATCAAAAATTTCAGGCTCTGAATCAGCAACAAACATGCTGAATCAGGACAGGATTAAAAGGCTAAAATTAATAGAAACAGCTGGGATTAGTGCTACTAGTGCTACTCCCCACCCTTGCATACATGCAAGTAGAATTATGGTTGAAACTCCACATCCACATTAGAAAAACAACTACTCCTAGGTAACAAGGTTTAATGGTTACAACTATATTCAATTTAGTTTAAGTAATTTCTTTCCCCTAAGTGTAAGTAGTAACTAAGGGTCTTTGAAGTTTCCAATACAGGTCTTAAATTATCAGCTAACTAGGAAAGCGAAGATTGGTACGTACAGAAAACAATTTCCAAGTGACACATGTTCTTCTCTCCCTTCCCTTTAACTGAAAACAGCCTAGAAACTAAAAGCACATGTTACTTCAAATCATCTCTCTCCATCTACCTAGGAAAGATGGATGGTCCTAAGCTAATGTGTCCATATCCAACAAAATATGTAACTACAATAAGAATGAGGAAAAAATATTTCTGCTGGTTTTGATTGCCTCTTAGTTCTTCATAAAAAGATGTGAACTTGATAATATCAACTAACCGTGCAAATTGATCTACATTGCTGGACACTTAAATAAACAGCTCCAGTGTAGAACTGAACCATTCACAGAACAACTGAAGAGAAAAAAATAATAGACATAACCCCAAATCTTAGAAAAATCCAGAGTTCATCTGCATAAAAAATCAGCACTGACTACTCTGGAAGTTAGTTTTCCAGTTACTTTCTCAACACTATGAGAGCCAAGGAAAGAGTTTACCCTGGGAACAAAATTCTGAGGCAAACCACTGCAAAGGGCTAACTGGAGGGGAGGTGCCAACATATACATAAAAGTCTACTGACAAGCCACTGACCAGAGCACCAGAAATGAAGGTCGTTCTCACAGCCTGAAATAAAGAGGCAGAAATGAGGGAGTCTATGGAACATTGCAGTGATATTCCAAAGTGTTATTGCTGGCTGCATCTTAGGAGAGAGATTTTTCTGATGGACATAGCCACTTGAGTTCCTGAGCATGAATCCTACTGAAGCCTTCTCACCCCACTCAAAGATCTATGCTATCGTTCTAGCATGTTCTGTTGAAACCAAGGACATCCAATATTTACTAGCAGCATGATATATCTTGGACGATCTACCTGCACATATCTCATTACAGATTGACAAGACTTGTTTGGGTTTTTTTTTGAAAAAATCACCAATAAAAATACAGCATGGTTGAGAGCAACAACAAAATACATCTGAATGGGTGCTACCTGTACTTTTTCAAATAATCAATGCACTTCACATTTCCCATTTTTCTGAGCTCTCTAAGGGACAGAATGTTCTGTTTCCCTTACCTGATATTATCATCATTGCCTCGCATCATAGACATTTGATTGAGTTATAGATCTCCACTATATCCTGAGAGGAAAATGTAATGAGTTTCTTAAAAGCCACCACGATGATTCTCCTAATTCAAGACTTTCCCTTAAGACCAAAGGAAAAAACCTTGTCCTAGATTCCTTGGGCTCACTGAAATACAAAAAGTTAACTCAGTGTCTGAAAGAACTGCATTTAATATCACCATCATTCCATTTAGACTTGTAATAACACTTTCGCCTTCAATGTCCCCAAGTCTTTCAACCAAAATGGAGATTGTTTGGCCTCTAGAGGTAAAATTATTTTAGTGCAGAGGCAATTCTCGTCAGGTTTTACTCCAGCAGGGCACAAGAAGAAGTATAAGGGAGATGAACAAGTGTTGGCCCTGGAGGCCAAATCTACTCAAGAGCTGAGGATTCTCAATTTTAAAGCATTTCTTCTTAGAAGAATAGATAAGCCTCAGGGCTATGCTGAACAACCCAAGGAGACAGACATACAGTATTTTCAAAAAACTTAATCATGAAACCAGGATGGAGCAAGAGAGAGGGAAGAAGACTGTAAGTTTCAGTAAGGAACTATATTTCTCATTTAAAAGAGAGTGCTGAGAAAGGTAATAGCAGGGGGATTTCAACAAGCAAAAACTGAAATCTCCATGGAATTTCCTCCAAGCACTTTCTAATAGGTGCTTGCTCAGAAAGCTGGTCATAAATGAAAAGAAATTAGTTGAAAATAACCCTGAACAACATTGCAGCATCTCTCACGGTTACTGCTGTTCATTGTCTTGCACAGAAAGCACTCTAAAGTGAAACAGCATTCCTGTTCTTTCACAGAGTAAAAATATTATTTAAGGAAAATAAAAAATTTACAACAAAAGGGAAATTAATTATTTACCTCTTCACAAACATAAGAGAATGGAAAGCAAATGTCTAAAATAAATGTATCATTAACAGTCGAGGAAGGAAAAAAAACACTTAGGTCTGAAATGTGCTAAAACAAGTGAAATAAAAAATTACATTAACTGAAATTGTAGCACTTGAACAAATAAAAAATTCCAAAGAAAATGGCAAGGATAGGACAAACACTCTAGTCTTGTTATGAAAAGTGAAAAGAAATACAAAAATTGCAAAATAATTTATATCAAATTAACTCGATTAAATGGATCATTAAGAAAATAGCTTAAAATGTAAACATCGTTTGTGTTGCTACTCTACTTCAGCCAGAAGTATTTACACTTTATGCATGTGAATCTACAAGTATCTGGAGGAGGGCAGCTGAGTGAAAGGCCAACACATTACTTGTTTATGTGATTCTGTGTCAAGATCTTGTCAGCAGGAGTTTGCAGGCCGCATTAATCACTATTATCAGTGCTCTGAGTTATTCCCAAGGAAATGTGTCAGTTTGGGTAACTTTGCCTCATATTTTACAGGTAATACTTCAAAAATGCTTTTTGGTTTAGGAAAACAACAAGGATAAAAAAGTCTTATTGAGCAATATTTCACATCTCTGTCTCCGAATCATTAGTCAGTTTCTACACACGTCTCTAAGGGAGGAAAAAAACAAGACAGCATTTTAGAAAATGCTATAAATTACATGAAGAAATATTTTTGTGAGTCTTCATTCTGTATTGTTATGGGCTTATATTGCAATCTCTATTGCAGCAGAAATAAGTGGCGTATCTTACTGAAAATTCCCAGCACTTCCATTAGAAGGAACATTTACTACTTCCCCAAACAGTTCATACAATACTGTAGATTAAACATGCTCCTCTTGTATGAGCTAGCTCTGACTTTCTTGTGCCTCATACTACCTGAGAATTGACCACAGACGGGGCATGGCAACACTGGGGCAGAAGAGCTCTGAAAGGGGTAAGAAAGGAAGGTGCATCCAAGCCTTACATTCAAGCCATGACACACTCTACCCTTTTGCTTCAAGTTGAGTAGCGTATGATGGTAGCAAGGGATTCAAGGGTACTTTGAGCTCCAAAATGTCTCCCCACAGCTTTGCTGACAAGTATAAATCAGAGGATTTATTTCGGTTAGCTTCTCAGTTCTCCATGACACAGCAAGTGCTGCTTCTGTCAAGAGGCCAAGCAAAATATTATTGAAAGTCTCCTGATCTTCTGGAGGAATATTTTTCCATGGTGTCCAGACAACCGGAAGATACTGGGTTTTTTCAGGTTTTCCCAGTCACTGTGTGAAAACAAACTGTCTTGAGCCAAAAATCAGGACTATTTTTTATACTCTACACAGAGAGAAATTAGGCAGGCAACCTAAAGAAAAATTTCCCATTATTTCTAATTATTTTAAAACAGGGTCATGTTCAGTAATTTGGGAAAAAAGGGGAAAAAAAACCTGTAGAAGGGCAAATAACAGATCACAAGAGGGAAATGCCCAAAAGATTTTGATTAGAAACATTTCACCTGCTACATGTTACTGGTTATCTCAATACACAGACATTCAGTGGATTGTGCAGTCAATCAATTCAGCATGTACAGAACGAAGCCATGAATTGGAGCATGTATAACTTATCAAACCTTGGCTAAAGTACAAAGATCATCTTCCGTCTGATGCCATTCAGTACTTCAGCTGGAATCTTTTTTCTACAGTTTGATAAACAAGAAGGTTATATGACTTTATTAAATACTAATTGATTTATACATTAAACTAACTCATCAGAAATATGTATTTTTAAAATAAATAAGCATAGCAATTAATGGCTTTTATATAAGCTCCTTGTCTAAATGACATTAACTGTAAAACATTTACTCCAGTACAAATTACAACATTATACAGATATTAAAGCATTTCAAATTTTAAACTGATTGAAGTTCAGCAATAGAAATGAAAAAATCATTGTAATAATAGTCTGCCCTGAATATTTTGTGGAAATCTGAGGCATTTACTAACTGCAAGCCCTGTCTGTAAGTAGGGAAGTTAATGTTACTATAAAAAAAATAATGTGACTTACAACAGAGGCTGCCTCATAAAAATAGTAAGGCAAATTAAAAACAAAATGTAAAAAAGAAAAAAGTCGCTCATTAAATTGAATAGTTTGCTATGAGGAATAGGGAAGATGTGTGTTTATGCCTGTGTACAACATAATCTTATATTCTGTTTTTTTGTGTGTGTTTTTTTGTTTGTTTGGGTTTTTTTTAATTCAGAAGTATCACTTTTTTACAAGGCTCATTTCCAACAAAAA